AAAAAAAAAATCCGCCAGTTATGGGAGGCTGAGGTGGGAGGATTGCTTGAGCCTGGAAGGTGGAGGTTGCAGTGAGCTGAGATCATGCCCCTGCACTCCAGCCTTGGTAACAAAAATAAATGAATAAATACATAAATAAATAAATGATAAATAAAATAAAATATGCTTTTTATTTGCAGTGGAATTTAAAACAATGATTTCAAAGTATCCCTATATTAAGATATTTGTAATTGAGAAATGGAAATGAAGTCTCATTCACTAAAACTGCATTTATCATACTTCCTGTAATTCAGTAATTCATTTCTGAATTGGGTCTTCATAGAAAGATGCCTTTCCATGTGGAAAAGTGCAAAGTTTTAAATGTAGGTAAATGTATTTTTGTGATTCTGTGGTGTGAGGAGTGCTTTTTTCTGTCAAGCATAATTAGTGCAACTGGCTTCTGCCTGTCTGGCGTCATCTGCTACTCTGTATCTCCTGGCTGGCACAGCTGCAGCCTCACTGTTCTGTCACTTTACCTGCTAAGACTTTTTCATCTCTAGGCCTTTCAGTCACTGTTTGGAATATTCCTGTCTATGTGGAATGTCCTCCCAGAATTTTCCACAGCTACCCCCTGATTATTCTAGCCTCAGCCTTGCTGTCCCCTCCTAAAGTGCCTCCCCAGCCTCACCCTCTTTTATTCTCCCTCTCCTTATCTTATTTTTTATTGCACCTATTGCATATTCTATTGTATTTTTATTTATTGTCTGCCTTTTTTCCATAGGAGTATAAATTCTTTGAAGGCAGGGATTTAGTCACATTCACCTCTGTATCTTTAGCCTCTAGAACGGTTCTTGGCACATAGTAGGTGCCCATTAAATATTTGTTGACTAGTTCATAGGGTCTATCAAAATTGGCACATGATAATGAGTGCAGTGTAATCAGTTAAGGCATGAATTGTGAAGCCAGAGTATTTGGGTTCACATCTTGATCCTGCCACCTACTTGGCATGAGCCTTGGACAAGTGACTTAACCTCTCTGTTCCTCATTTGTCTCACCTGTGAAGTGGGGATAGTAATATAATTTACTTTAAATAATTATTATTAGGTTGAAATGAATTATATATTTATATAAAATATGTATATGGATGAATATATAAAATGAATAATGTCTGATCTGTATATTGGAATTAGCTATTAATATTATAAATGCCTCCCATGGATGACTTACCCTCACCTGACTCGAGAGAGGGATCTGTCTATATAAATTGACCATTTTAGGGCTTCTTTCCAACAGAGTGCAAGTTCTTGTTATTTCATACCATGATAGCTAAACATTTACCTTCACCAGTCTTTCCTTAGTTGTACAGTTGTTCCGTCTTTCAAAGTTATTGCTTTGACTCTGCTCCCCGCTCCCACTTTTATTTGAATTCTTCAATGATTCACAAATGAACCCTTCTCGGAATCTCAATGCACCTAAAATATTAACAAAAATACAAAATAAAACATTTATATTGAAATATAGTTGTCAAGATATTCAAAAAAGTTATGTATATTTTATTAGCACCTTAAATAATAAGATGTATTGGCAGAGTAATAACTACCTTAATTTTGAAGTGTTGATAAGCATAAACAATATTTTTAGATATTCAGACATCATCATGTAATGAAAATGTCTGTGCTTTCTATTGACAACCTTACTGTAATTTGTAGCCTACATTCAAATTTAGCATTTCTTTCATGAAGTAGTTTCTAGGTTAATTATAATTAGGTTAATGATAATAAGGATGTAATTTTTTTCCTCACCGAAGTTTGTGGACTCCTCTGACAAAAATCCCTGCAAGCAAGAGTCTTTATATTCTAGGTCTAGCCTAAGTTTTCAAATTTATGCCCTACTTTTGCTTAACATAAACTGAGCTTGCAAAGGTAGGAAATAATAGCTTTCATGGTTTAACAAGTATTTACTGCTTACCACTTGTGCCTAGATCTCAGATAGTCTATTCAGCAGTGAAAATTCAGGGATAGGTCTCTGCTTATTTAAAGACTTCTGTCTAGTGGGGAAGAATAGTTTTAAATAGCAAACAAACATGTGCATGCAACATACAATAAACGTGCTAAAGAAATGAAGCATATGTAATGTGTTTTTAGGAGTAGGGATGGGTATGTGGTTACCTAGAAAACTGGTCAAAGAAAAACTTTCTGTGTGATTCTTATTTGATCTGAGACTTGAAGGATGAGATAAAGCCAGCCAGACTGAGTGTGATGACGCAGAGGTAGAGACGAAGGGTGGGAAGTAGGGAAACATTTTAGGTAGAGGGACAGCATACAGGAAGCACGATGCCATACCTAGTCCATCCTACATGCACCCAGTTTCTCCCACTTCTGTCGGCACTGTTTCTAATAATCCCTCTAGAGCTTTTTCAGTAGTAACCAGGCAAATAGAAATATTTAGTTTTTGGGTTTCTTCCTTTATTATACAATAGTAGTGGAGTATACATCCTGTTTTGTAGGTTTTTTTGTTTTGATATAATGATATGTATTGGAATTCTTTCTATATCACTACACAGAATGTTCATTCTTTTTTTTGTTTGTGTGTTTATAACCTCAAGGGATGCCATCACATAGTTGTGCCAAAGTTTATGTAAACAGACTCTATCAATGGACTTTTGAAGTGGTTCCAATATTTTGCTATTAAAAACAATGTTATGGTTAATAACCTTGTAAGTATATGATTTCACACATGCAAATGTATAGTATATGTAGGATAAATTCTCAGAAGGGGAATTGCTGGGTTCCAGGGCCAATACATTGTTAATGTGTTAAACATTGCCAAATTGCTCTGCATCCTGATTGTGCTGTTTTATATTTTCAATACTAATGTATTAAAGTACCCATTTTCCCACAGATCAAAATAGCACAGGCTTTATTATTTATAGACTATTCTAAACACTTTCTCCATTTTGATGCTTTTGTCTGTGCTGTTCTTTGTACCTGGAATGCCTGTCAGTTAGCTTGGCCTGTTGGAATAGTATCCAGTCTTCATGATTTTATACATAGGAGTGGAGCGAGAAAAGTGACCCATGGAAGGGAAACTTTTTTATGCTCAGATGGTGGCTCTTAGTGAACAGACTCCTTGCTGTTTTGCTTCTGTCTGCTCGTTTAACCTGTGGTACTATGTGTTTTTTCTTCTTGGCGACTGTTAGGAAAATTTCATTTTTGTTTCCTTTATTTTCAGACGGGAACATTTAAAGGACATGACGGTGAATATTTCTTAGAACCTATAATGAAGGCAGATGGGAATGAGTATGAAGATGGTCACAACAAGCCACATCTTATATACAGACAAGAATTAAATAACTCTTTTCTGCAGACTCTGAAGTATTGCAGTGTGTCAGGTAAACTGTGAAATAAAACATTTTTCAGCTAAATAGTGATACGATTTAAATCTTTTTATAGGTTATAATTTACATATTCCCTTCAATATTTTATTTATTTTTAATTAATTTTTTAAATTGAGAAATAATAATTGTGTATGTTTAGCATGTACAGCATGTTGGTTTGAAGTATGTATACATTGTGGAATGGTTTAATCAAACTAATTAACATATGCATTAACTCACATCCTTATTTTTCTTTTTTTTTTGTGGTGAGAACACTTAAAACCTACTCTTAGCAGTTTTCAAGAATACAATACACTACATCGTTATTAACTATTGTCACCATGCACAATACAGTGGCCTATTCCTCTTATCTAACTGACATTTTATGCCCTTTGACCAACATCTTTCCTTACCCCTGCAACTGCAGCTCTGGTAACCAGCATTCCACTCTTTACATCCAAGAGTTCAACTCTTTTAGATTCCACATATAAATGAGGTCATGTGATATTTCTTAAATATTGAAGGAAATGATCTTTTAAACAATATTTTCACCTGTACAGATGCATTAGAGATTTTTCTGTCTGTAGATGACATTTTTTGTAGTGAACTAAATTTGAATCCCAAAAGTTTTTCAGTATATGAAATTTGTAGCAAATAATCATATAGAAAATTTTTACTTCAATCTGTTAGTCACATTAGTATTATTTAATTTTTTTTCAGCAGGATTTTAGATGAAAAAATAATTCCTGAACCTAAGTAACAGTAAAAACACATTGCTCAATTTTGCATGGTTTAAACTTTATATGAAATGGAAACATATTGTATATAGTTTTCTGTGACTTATCCTTTTTGCTCAGTATTGTTTCTAGGGTTCATCTATTTTGGTGCATGTAGGAACAGTCATTTATTTTTATTGTTGTACAACATTCCATTGTTTGAGGGTAACACAGTTCATATATCAATTTCCTGTTGAGCTTTTGGGCTGTTTGCTGTTTTTTGGTGTTAGAAGCAATGTTTCTGTGAATATACTTGCCCCCATCTCCTGTTTTTGAGAGTTTCTCCAGGATATATGTATGGATACTAGATAATTCCATATTGTTTTACAAAGTGATTTTTAAATCAATATTATAGTTTCACCAATCTATGAGAGAGGTATATTTTCATCATTTTTTTTCTGTAAAATTTAGACTACTGAAGATCTACAGTAGATTAGAATCTAAGAAGCATAGATTTCTACAGAGTATATCTGTGGATGGTAAAATACTTACATATTGTATAAAAGTTGTATTTATTAAGAGTTGTGTCCATATAGGTTCACGTATCTTCACTATTCATAGAATGACATGCAATGATATCATGGAGAAAAGGCACCTGCAGTTACCATCAAAGTATAAAATTTAGACAAAAGAGTGGGATTAGCAAGGATTTATTTGAGATCATAGGTGTCCATAAACTATAGTTCCAAACACTGTGATGCCATCTGTTTTGGGATATAATGATATGTAGGCCTTTGATGGTTTTCCCTGGGAATGCACTTCTTAACCTTTAGAATGGTTCTCACTGGGTCTAAGGCCGTGTTTTAAATCTATTGACATAATAGATGCCTTTCTTATGCTTTTAATATGAGCATAAGGGTTTCATTTTTATGGCTTCAAAGAAAACACAAATGGGTACAGCTTCACAATAGAATTCTGTAGAGGGAGCTTATACTTGTTCTGATCTACGATTCAAGAGCAGCTTGTTTAATGAATTGTTTAGCTTCTTAGGAAGAAAACCACAAAGTAACATTCTGAATACATAAATGTTTCACATAATTTGGAAGGTTTTGCATTCACAAACAAGAATATAATTCAAGGAAAGCTAGGCTTTTTTTTTGTTAAACTGTTTTATACTAAAGACTTATTAGAAAGCTACAAATAAAAAGCAAATGGAAAGCTATGTGATTTCATTTTCTTTTAATCATAAAATACTTTTTTTTAACAATATTTATCTAATAAAATGTAAAAGGTAGTATCCTTTTCAATTCTTAAATCACCTCCAATTTTAGGTACAATTAGCATATAGATTTTTAATCACTAATAAAGGCAATTAATTAATGACCTAAAAATTAGCTAATAAATACTCATTTTTTAAAAGTAAAAGTGGAGCGTTGCAAATGCAATTAAAATTGTCTGAAGCATTTTTTTTTTCCTCCCTCAGTTCACACATTGTTGTTTAGAAATACTTGGAGGTTTTATATATTCTTTTTAAAAGTTTTAATAGCTTTTGGGGTACTAGTGGTTTTTGGTTACATGGATGAATTATATAGTGGTGAATTCTGATATTTTAGTGCAGTCATCACCCAAGCAGTGTACCTTGTACCTGATATGTAGATTTTTATTCCACACCCACCTCCTACCCTCCCACTTCTGAGTCTCCAAAGTCCATTATATCATCTGTATGCCTTTGCATACTCACAGCGTAGCTCCCACTTATAAGTGAGAACATATGGTATTTGGTTTGTCATTCCTGAATTACTTCACTTAGAATGATGGCCCCCAGCTCCATCCAACTTGCTGCAAAGGACATTATTTCATGCCTTTTTATGGCTGAGTGGTATTCCATGGTGTATATATACCACAGTTTCTTTATCCGCATGTTGGTTAGCGGGCACATAGGTTGATTTCATATCTTTGCGACTGTGAATTTGACTGCAATAAACATATGTGTGCATGTGTCTTTTTCATATAATGATTTCTTTTCCATTGGGTAGATATCCAGTCGTCATATTTGCTGGATCAATTGGTGGATCTACTTTTAGTTCTTTAAGGAATCTCCATACAGGTTTCTATAGAGGTTGTACTAATTTATATTCCCACCAGAAGTGTATCAGCATTCCCCTTTCACCACATCCATGCCAACATCTATTGTTTTTTGACTTTTTAATAATGGCCATTCTTACAGGAGCAAGGTAGTATCCCATTGTGGTTTTAATTTGCATTTCCCTGATGATTAGTGATGTTAAGCACTTTTCCGTATGTTTGACCATTTATATATCTTCTTTTGAGAACTGTCTATTCATGTCCTTTGTCCACTTTTTAATGGAATTATTTGCTTTTTTTCTTGCTGATTTATTTTAGTTTCTTGTAGATTTTGGATACCAGTCTTTTGTCAGATGCATAGTTTGCAAATATTTTCTCCCATTCTCTGGGTTGTCTGTTACTCTGATGATTATTTCTTTTGCTGTGCAGAAGCTTTTGAATTATTCAAGTTCCATTTATTTTTGTTTTTGTCGTGTTTGCTTTTCGGGTCTTAGTCATAAATTCTTTGCCTAGGCTAATGTCCAGAAGAGTTTTCCCTATGGTTTCTTCTAGGATTTTTATGGTTTCAGGTCTTAGATTTAAGACTTTAATCCAACTTGAGTTGATTTTTGTAGGAGGTGAGAGATAGGGATCCAGTTTCATTCTTCTACAGGTGGCTATCCAACTCTCCCACCATTCATTAAACAGGGTACCCGTTTTCCAATTTATGTAGTATGCTTTGTCAAAGATCAGTTAGTTGTAAGGATTTGGCTTTATTTGTAGATTCTCTATTCTGTTCCATTGGTCTATGTGCCTACTTTTATACCAGTACCATACTGTTTTGGTTACTATATCCTTGTAGTATAATTTGAAGTTGGATATATATTGCCTCCAGATTTGTTTTTGTTTGTTTGTTTGTTTGTTTTGCTTAGGATTGACTTGGCTATTGAACTCCTTTTTAGTTCCATATGAATTTTAGGATTTTCTCCTAATTCTTTGAAAAATGATTTTGGTATTTTGATAGGAATTGTATTGTATCAGTAGATCGTTTTTGGCAATATGGTCATTTTCAGGATATTTTCCAGTCAATGAGCATGGGATGTATTTCTGTTTGTTTTTTATTCATCTATGTTTTCTTTCAGCAGTGTTTTGTAGTTCCTGTTGAGATCTTTCACCTCCTTGGTTAAGTGTATTTCTAGGTATTTTATTTTATTTTTTGCAGCTATTGTATAAGAGATTGAGTTCTTGATTTGGCTCTCAGCTTGACTGTTTTTGGTGTATAGCAGTACTACTGGTTTGTGTATGTTGATTTTATAATCTGAGACTTTCAAATTCAGTAATTTGTTTATTTTTTATTTTTATTTATTATTTTTTAAAATTTAGATTTCTTTTTTTCACTTTTTTTTAAATACTTTGTGTTCTAGGGTACATGTGCACAATGTGCAAGTTTGTTACATATGTATACATGTGCCATGTTGGTGTGCTGCACCCATTAACTCGTCATTTACATTAGGTATATCTCCTAATGCCATCCCTCCCCGCTCCCCCGACCCCACAAACAGGCCCCGGTTTGTGATGTTCCCCTTCCTGTGTCCAAGTGTTCTCATTGTTCAATTCCCACCTATGAGTGAGAACATGTGGTGTTTGTTTTTCTGTTCTTGCGATAGTTTGCTGAGAATGATGGTTTCCAGCTGCATCCATGTCCCTACAAAGGACATGAACTCATCCTTTTTTATGGCTGCATAGTATTCCATGGTGTATATGTGCCACATTTTCTTAATCCAGTCTGTCATTGATGGACATTTGGGTTGGTTCCAAGTCTTGAATTTGTTTATTAAATCTAGGAGTCTTTTGGAGTACTGTTTAGTCTTTTCTAGGTATATGATCATATCATTGGTAAAGAGAGATAGTTTCACTTCCTCTTTTCCAATTTGGATGCCTTTATTCTTTCTCTTGCCTGATCTGCCTAGGATTTCCAGTATTATGTTGAGTAGAAGTGGTAAAAGTGGGCATCCTTGCCTTGTTCCTGTTCTCAGGGGGAATGCTTTCAACTTTTTCCCATTCAGTGTTAAGTTTGCTGTAAGTTTGTTAAATGTGGCTTTTATTATTTTGAAGTATGTTCCTTCTATGCCTAGTTTGTTGAGGGATTTTATCATAAAGAGATGCTGGATTTTTTCCAAATCCTTTTTCTACATCTATTGAGATCACATGGTTTTTGTTTCTAATTCTGTTTAT